CTGAAAGACTAAATTAGTGTCGCATGAGTGTAATACATTTGTTACATTTAACAGAATTTATGTCTTTAGTAGAACACTGTTACACATCGAATTATCAATGTAAAACCCATCAATACATGAAATGATGTGCTTTCCATTGGTAAATGAGATACCTTCATATTCACATTTATTGCTATCTTGTAACAAATAATTTTGTTTACAAAGTGTACACTTCCCATTTTCACACAATTCACAATTTGCTTCACAAGACTCACACCGTGTTGTATAATCTCCCGCACTACACTTTAAACATGAATTTCCATCTGTTAATTTACATATGGTGTTTGTAACACATATTCTGTTAATCATTTGTTTATTGGTTTCACATTTATAACAATTTTCTGTAGTTCCCACCAAACAACCGTTTGTCGATTGTACACACTCATTGTTTTTATTGAGAAGGTAACCATATTTACAGAACGAACAGTGGTTGTTTGCATCGTAAATTAGACAATTCTTTTCTAAATTAACACATTTGTTATTCAACAATTGAGTTTTGGAATTACATTTTAAACAATTCATTTCAGATGAAGTTATTGTCATCAACACGCAGTTTTGAAAAGGTTGTGTTTGCATGATAGTGTTCTCACTTTCCAAATAAATAATAATGGTGCTTGACATTCCATAATTGTTAAAATTTAAAGATTGAATTTCTTTCACTTCTTTTGTGATATAAACAAATTTGTCATTATTTATTTGCATACTTTCTATTGTACTAGAGCAATTAATTTTAATATAATTGACTTTATCATTTACTAAAATATCACTTGAAATACTGTTAGTGCAAATTAATTCATTATTTGTTGAATTATACATAAAAGTACTTTGTGTGTTTTGTATATCTTTTACAACAACTTCTCCAATTGAAAATGTGATATTTGAAGATATAAAAACACCATTTAAATCAAGTGAAACGTCATCACTCATAATCATTGTTTTAATATTTTGTGCATTTGTTATTCTTGTGTCCTTTTCAATATGTAAAGTGGTGTATGCAAGTTGTTTACTATCAAAATTGTATGCAGATATGTTATTAGCCAAATATAACTGACAATCTGTTACATTGTCATTACAAGGACAATGTGGATAGTCAAATCCATATGTAGAAATCGTTTTATAGTTATCACCATACAAACTATTAGTTAAAACACACTTCACTATATTGTTTTTGGCAGTATCTTTAGGACAAAATCTAATCAGCTTTTGATTAGAAAATAAATACGCTGTCCCATTTAAAAATTATATGGAAAATGAGTCGAGTTAATGTGGTTTGGATCAGTATTGATATTTATAGCACTTGCATTGGCCATTGAGATGACATCGAAACATTTGGTGTTGTCTATTGGATTCACAATTGAAAAATCCGATCTCTCACTCATATTGCGATTTAAATGGAGATAAGGTGAATTCCACAAAACAAGAGGAGGAATGTCCAATTTAGGATTCAAAATTAACAGTTTACCAGCAATAGAAAAATAGCCCTCGATTTTTGCAAGAGAATTACTGTGAAGAGTAAATGAATTTTGAATATGAATAGGAAGTGAAACAGTGGTTATACTATTTTCTGAAAGAATTAAATTGCTTGTATATGTATATAAATTAAATTTGCAGTCAAATGTTAGAGTACCACTTGTTATTATTGAATAAAAAGAAGAATTTCCATTGAATCTAAAGGTACTATTAAAACAATAAACACTGTTGGAAGTACACAATGAACCAACTAAAGATACAAATCCTTCATCTTCATTTATGGTTTTTGGAACACATTCACGTGTCTCTTCTGCTTGAACACATAGAGATACAAAAACAAAACATAAAAAGACCAAAGAGACAGTGAATCTTTTCATATAATTTGAATTGTATTTTTACGTTCTTTTGAAATAAAAAATCTGTTTTAACAAAATAAGGTTTTACTTTCCATTTTAAATACGAATTATCTATTTTGAGTAATAAATAATTAAAGGTTTCTCGTTTTCGGTTTTTTTACAATCATGTCAAAATAATTATTATGTATTATTATTTATTGGTAAATTACTACTCTTAAATTAGTAATAAAATTAAAAAAAATTAACTAACAAATTAACTAAAAAAAACAGGCATATCATTTTATTTATACCATTATAGAGAATTATAATTTTTCTCATTGTGTAAAAAACAGGAACTTACAAAAAAACTATAAATAACAATTAAAAAAATAAAATATTCAATTAGTTAATTATTATTTGTGTAAAGTAACTATCAAGGTGTGCAAGTTAAGGTATTGTTCATTTATAATTTTTTTATTTTAAAAAATAGAATCATTAATTTCTTGAATTTTCGAAAAAAAGATTATTTTTAGTTTAATTATTAATTATAATTTTGAAGTTATTACTAAACTATACTTTAACTTGCACACCTTGTGACGTTGCAATTCTTAACTTTCACACTTTGAATACAATTAATTAAGCAACAATTTCGGGAAATCGACCCAATGGAAATTATCGAAGGACCAGTTCTGGACAACAGTAAACATTGATTTGAGATAATGAACTGCACCTATTAAACAGACTGTTTGTTATTGTTTGCTATAAAACGGCACAGAGAAAAACATAATGTTTATTATACTTTTTATTATTTTGCTTTAAATTTAGCTTGGACAAGAAAGAATGTCGCCTTCAAATACAAAACTTCTTTAGCTGTAATTAAACAACACGTGATTACACTTTTGACACAACAACAGTTGAGTGCAACAAATGTCTTAATGGGTATGGCTATGTTTCAAGCACAATGAGAGTCTGTGAGATTTGCCACAACGAAGTTGATAAGAGTCAAGTTTGGATTACATGCGATGATGGGTGCAAAAGGTGCTTCATCAAAGACAACCTTACAAAAGAACAATTGTGTGTTTCTTGTGTAGATGGGTTTGCATTGAGGAATGGAAAGTGTCTTAAAATAGAAAACCGTGAGTATTGTCTTGATGAGTTGGACAATGTCGGCTGTGAATCGTGCGCCAACTATTATTTGACTGTTGAAATTGGCACAAAGTGCTCGCCGAATAACAGAAATGCAAATTACTCGTTTTACAACGAAAAGGGTGAGTGTTTTGAATACAACTCAAAACCAAAAGTGTTATCTTCAATGAAAACAGAAGACGCAAATGATGCCAATTGCCAAGAGGGTGAATACCAGAAAGGGCACTGTCTGTCTTGTCGACGTGGTTTTGCCCCAATCTTATCAAGTCCACCAGTTTGTACAGAGTGCGGGTGCAGAGAGTGCAACAAGATCAACTAGTGCAAAATATGTATCAGCGAATCAAACAACAACATTGGAATTTGCACAAATGACAGCAACTGTGTTTCAACAACAAACAACACCTGTTTAAAATGCACGGATGGTCATTACATAGCAAATGGGATGTGTGAAGTGTGTGACCAGAGTTGTGTGTTTTGTTCAAGTGACAGCAAAAAGTGTTTGAAATGTGAAGACGGTTTTGTGCTAGTGAATGATGAATGTGTTTCGCTTGAAGAGATAAATTGTATCACCAAAAACGATGTTTCTGGTCGTTGTGAGTTATGCAAAGAAGGGTTTGTGTTTGACGCATCAAACGAGTGCAAAGAAAGTGGTATAGCAAATTGTCTGAATGAAAACTCAAACAAGTGTGTGAGATGTCTACCAACAACCCTTTTGGGCATTTCCAACATAGAAACGGTTTGTTCTGACGGTGCATCAATAAACAATTGTGAAATTCTAAGCTCAATCGGTTGTGTTCAGTGCAAAAATGGGAATTACATGGATGGGATAGAGTGTGAGCGATGTGATAAGAACTGTGAAAAGTGTGACACAAATGCAACGACGTGCATATCGTGCTATTTTTGGTTTGTTCTCAACGTGCAAACAAGTCATTGTGACTTGATTGAAGATATAAAATATCATGTGCGAAGTTTTTGAGTGATAAGGGATGTGCTATATGTGAAGACAGATATTATTGGCAGGGAAGAAATTGTTACAAATGTTACAATAACTGCACAACTTGTTCACAAAGCGAAGGCAATTGCCTGGTGTGCGATATTGATAACGGGTTTTATCAGAACGACACAAATGGTATTTATTGCATTCCAGTGAGCGAACTTACAAACTGTTTAAAAAATAATATATTTGTGTGTGTATAATATAAGGATGGGTATTTCTTGAACAGAAGGAAGTGTGAGAAATGTGCTGAAAAGTGTAAGTTGTGTGTGTCATCTGATTTTTGCCAAAATTATGTTGATGATTATATTTTGGTCAAAAGAAGATGTGAATATTACACAACAATAAAGTATTGTGCAAGTGCTACAAATAATTTGTGTTTAAGTTGTACACCAAAATACAATCTTTCAATTGATAAATTAAGTTGCTTTAAACATCAAAACAAAACGCTTTCAATTGTATTTCCCGTTGTAATTACAGTCGTTATTATTATAGTATTAATATTCACAATGTTTGTGGTGTATCTTATTTACAAGTCACATAAATCAAAGAAAATACTACAAAAGACCACATGCGAGTTTTCAATGAAAAAGTCGAACATTAACTTTATTGAATATTCTCCAGGAGTCACGTTGAACAAAACATCACTTGACTTCTCTGTTGACTTTGATACAATTTGTTCACTTCCAATTGACAAATTAAGTCGTGACCTCCTCTGTGTTGGAAACAACTCGAAACACACTGTGAAAGTCCAATTGACGTACAAAACGACAAGTGAGAAGTACACCATCAAGGTAACTCCATCTCTTGCAACACTTTCATCTGGGAAAGCCGTTGAATTTGAAATATTTGTAACACCTCTGTGCACATGTAGCATCAGTGAAACTATTGCAATTGTCTTTTTTAATACGTCGAAGGGTGAGCAGATGTCCCTGAACTTACCCATTAAGTTTGAGAGCGAGAAGTCGAGCAACCTTGATGCCGACGAAGTAATTTGCGAAAAGAAGATAGGTGAAGGCTCCTTTGGTGTTGTTTACATTAGGAATTACATTGGAAACAAAGTAGCAATTAAAAGGATGAAAGAAGTCGAAAACAATGAAGAGTCAATGGAAGAATTTAAAAAGGAGGTTGAGATGTTAGATAAGTTCCGCAGTGAATTTGTCGTTCGCTTCTATGGCGCCGTTTTTGCACGTAATAAAGTGTGTATGGTCACCGAATTTGCGACGTATGGAAGTCTTCAAGACTTGATGAAACACAAAACTTCGAATGAAATTGACATGAAGTTAAGAGTGATAATTTGTCTTGACGCTGCTAAAGGAATATTGTATTTACACGAAAATGGGATATTACAGAGAGACATCAAACCAGACAACATATTAGTCTTTTCACTTGAGACTATTGAAAAGGTTAATGTGAAATTGACTGACTTTAAAAGTAGTCGAAACGTCAACTTGTTGATGACAAACATGACATTCACTAAAGATATTAGAACACCAACTTATATGGCACCTGAAGTTTTGAAAAAAGAAAAGTACAAGATGAGTGCTGACATCTTTTCATTTGGAGTAACAATATACGAATGTGTTGGGTGGTGTGAGGCGTACCCAAAAGATGAATTCAAATTTCCATGGAAAATAGCCGAGTTTGTTATTTCAGGAAAGCATTTGAACAAAAGTTTATCGGTGAATGATAACATTTTTAGTATCTTTTCTAAATGTTGGAAACAAGATACGAACAATCGTCCAATAATAAAAGAAGTAGTACACACTTTGGAGTTGTGTTTAAACTAATTTTTTTAATATTAAACTAATTTACTATTTAAACATAAAATGAGTTATAGCAGTTGCTATACTTTTAAATGCAAAATGTGACATAAAAATTTTAATAATTATAATTATAATATTTCTCTTTTATTGTGTTTTTATGTCAAAAAATGATAGGAGGGTATTTAAACATTATTGTGGTATATTCTGATTATCCACTATTTTGAATTGGTTTGCATTTTATTGATAACAAGTTGTTTTTATTAAGGTTTTTGATATCAATAATTACAAACATTTAAACACAAATTGTATAAACATTTAATTAATTAATTAATAATATTTTTAAAATGTTTATTATTTTTTTGAATTTTTACTGAATATAATTATAAAATTAGCCATAATTATAATTATTAACAATCGAATGACAAATCTAAAAATGATGGTTCAAAGACTAAATTGATTTACAAAGATGTTTTTTTTGAAACTGTTACCATTGTTGGTTATGTTAAATAGTCGACAATATACTGTGATCTTTTTTGTTTTTAAAGATATGTATAATATGATTGTTATTTTCGAGCAATTGCTACGATGCAATTTAACAACTTAACCCCAAGTTCATCATCATTTTGATGCATGGTTATTTACAACCATTTCCATTAGTTTCAAGTTTTTCTTCAAGTGTGACATGTATTAACATCTCTTTGAGCTTAGCCAAATATGAGTTGGTATTTCGGATATAATAACAATTCGTGTATATTGTGATTTATTAAGAAACGAGTTTTCAGTCATTTGATTACCATCATATGATGCGATGTCCGAAGTCAGTTTTTATTGTTAAAGAACAAACGGTGTATCTTTTTGTAATTGTTTGATCATATTAAAAAAGGGTTTAAATATTGGTTTGTGTTGTTTATTTTTATTATTTAAGTCAAAAAAAATAATTTGAATTGAATTAAATTGTTTTTCTTTTATCTTACAATAAAATATGGTTTTATTTATATTATGCATTTTTATAATAAAAATATGGGTAATCGATGCTAAAAATTACAATACAATATAAAGTAAAAAAATAATTGTAATAAAAAATAACGATAAATTGTTCATAGGTACTATTTTAAATTATTGTATTTTTATTATTTATTTTACATATTTAATTATTTTTGAATAATATTTTTTATAATTTATATGTTATAATAAATTTTACATATTTTTAAAAATTTTCAAATTTCAATAATACCAGTTAATAATTTAAAAAATACACATTTTTTATTTATTTTTAAAAAATTGTTCATTTTGATTTTTGATTGAATTGGGTTATTTAAAATAATGTCAAAGCAAAAAAAAACATCAAAAATATAAATTTGATAATTTAGAAAACTATAAAATTTGTATATTTTGAATTTGCATATTATTTATTTTGAGCATTTTTCCTGTGACTAAAATATACAACAAGACAGATGTTAATATAACTTAAAATAGTTTGTTATTAAATATTGTTGTTGTTTTATTTAAACACATTATTTCAATTAATGAATATGTATTCAATCTAAAACGTATTTTAAAATGTCTATTTTATTTTATGAAAAATGTTTTATCACAATACTTAAACAAAAACTTTTATTTTTTATTGATTTTTATTATTTAGACTGTAAATACAATGCTCATTTTAAAACCCAAACATCGCTTTCAACTTTTTTCATCACCAAAAAATATATACATTTAAACTTCGAAATAATTAAAAATTCGTTTTAAACAATAAATATAAACAACATTTTTATAAAAAATGTTATTTTAAATTAAAAATTTATCAAGTTTTATAAAGTAAAATATAATTAGACAGCCTTTGTTTCTGAAATGCTTTTCAAACATATTAATTTATTGTCAAATTTGACTTCAATTAATTATACATTTTAAGTATTAAATAACACGTAAAGTTATAATCAGGTTAATGCTTATCTCGATCTCGTTTCTAAAAACAAGATAATCTTCATAATGTGGATGGAAATCACAAGTGGTATCAGGAAAACATTTACGTCTTCTCTCTCTTATTCTTCTTTTTGTTGTAAAGTGAGGGACCAACATTAACCAACACATCTAAAAATAGATTATTTTTATTTCGAATCATATTCAAATTAAAATTATAGTAAATAGGAAACTGGGATAATATTAGGTCTGGTTCCCGAATTCAAGAAATGTGAAAATTCACCTCGAGTCAGTGAAAACCGAGCGAGACGGAGCATTAAAAAGAAGGCACCGAAAGCCGCACTCAAACAGTCTGTTTGTGCACCGTTTCACCCATTTTCCAAGTCCTCCCTTGGCGCGGATCCCCCCTGACCCCCCCGCAAGCGGGGGGGGGAACCACATCCGCGTCCACACAGTACGGACAAGGAAAGTGGGTGACATGGGGACGCACAAACAGTGGCTGAAAAGTGGACTCTCTTCAAAAAACACTCGCGGCAAATATTTTTTTGGTAAAGGTGGTGGTGGTCAATGTATAGGGGTGTGAAAAAATGGTTACTACCCAAAAAATGGTTACTGTCAGTGTAGAACTTCTTTTTTGTAAAAAGAAAAAACATTTTATTTAACATTTTCAACAAAAAGTATAAATTTTTTAGAATTATTTTTTGTTGTTTTTAATGCACTTTTGGGAAAGTTTATTTTAGTCAGATGAAAATGAGTCAAGATTTTTTAAAACAGCCAATTAAATTAAGAATTACATTCGAAAAACAATTCGTTCTTTTTATATTATTTTTTTTATTTTAATTTAATAATTGTTATAAAAATGTTTTTGTGTGAACTAAAATTGTATTTTATACAGATCATTCTAATAGTAATCATCAATCTTTCATTTTTTTATAATAATTTGTATTTTTGACTGATTTTTAAGTCTGAATATTTTCAATATTTATAAAAAACTCGATGATATATACAATTTATACAATACAACATATTACAAACATGTATATTAAATCTGTTGACAATCATTTTATGTTTACTTTTATAAACTAAATACATGTAGATACTTTTGTATTATAAATAAATGTATTTCAATGATCCCATATTTTACTTCATATAAAAAATTAAAATTATTATATAATAAACATATGCATTATTCAACTTACATACAAACATCAAGAGATGATTGAGATTCTAAATTTGATTGATAAGAACCACTTGGTTCAAAGATATGTACAAAATAAACCATGTTGATTATTTTATTAAAGACTTCTATAAATAAAACCAGTTTACTATATTCAAATAATATTGTTATTATTATATAGTATATCGAAAAATAACATTTAAATTAAATTAAAACGATAAACAGTTATTATATAATTCAAAATATTATAATATAACTAATCAATTTATTGTTTTATTTATTATAGAGTTTTAATTAAAAGTTCAAATAATTAAACTATAATTTATTAATAAATAACTAAATTAAACCAATAAACAAATTAAAACTTATAAACCTAAAACACGAGTTATGAACATTAAAACCCCAAAAGTGGTGTTAAAATAATGTGGCAAATGGACTGCCATTTAAGTTAAGTGACACAAAATAACAATAACAATTTAAACATTAAAATTTGTATTTCCATTAATTCAAAAATATTATATATAATATGTATTTACAAGTAGACATAATAACAAGAACAAGTCCGCAATAATAAAAAAGTCAGAAAGGGATCGCCCTTTGGTAAGTCGATACCAAAAAGCGCATAAAATGAACACGACATTGGCACAAACGTTTTTAATTTGGGCAGGAGTTTTATAATTTGACTTAATTATTAACTATGGTTTATTACCTTATAAAATTAATAATATAAATATAATTAATTGTTAATTCAATTATGGTTTGATATTTTACACACACTCCATCTATTTTTACTTATTCAAATCAAAAAATTTATTCAATGAACCCAAAAGTCCGCTTTTTCATTTTCAATTTCCATTTTAATTTTGTTAAATAAAATGTTTTTCATTTTTACAAAAAAGAAGTTCTACACTGACAGTAACCATTTTTGGGGTAGTAACCATTTTATCACACCCCTATAGGTCCCGTAAAGTGAGGCGAGAAACCCACACCTGGAGAAAAACCCGCACCCATTTTTTTTCTTCTTTTACCCAAATTATTGTGTTTTTTACTTCCAGAACATGTAAAAAATAAAAAAGTCGGGTTATTATAGTTTCTTTTTCTTTCTTTTTGGTGTTTTTTATTTAAAAAATAAAAAATGATTCGAGTTTGATTCAAAATGAACTATCAAAGAACAAAAATGGCCCGGATTTTTTACGTACTTTTAGTTTGTTATAACAGTGTTTATATTTGTGTTTATTCAAAAAAACAAATATACTATTATATAAACTATGTATATAGTTTAATTATTTAAACTATATTTTTTAACTTGTAATAGTTCATCAAAACGTAATTTCTAAAAATAGTTTATATTTTTACAAGACAAATTCTATAATATAGTAATGTATAGTAAAAATATTCAGAGATTTGCTTTTTTCTGGACAAATGTTTATTTTTTGATCAAAATATTTTCTTTTATATCTATAATACTCACAAGTCAAAATCAATTATGTTTTTGTGAATATGTTATATTATAGCTCTGTTGTGTGTTTAATATCATTATTTTTAAATAAGTTCAAAAACAATAAAAAAAGTCAAGTTATGTCTTTTTTGACACATATCTTTTTTTATTAAGTTGTAAATTAAAACAAAAATTTTGATATGCAAACGATTGTACATCAACAATTCTATTATGTATCACTGCTTTATATCATACTGTAACATTATAAAGAGAAGTTACAGAATGTGTTTTTAATCATAACAATTATTATCAATTATAATAAAAATTTATTATATTTCTAATATTTATTTTTTTACGAATTAATAACTTAAATTAAATTAAATAATTTTAATAAAAATATTCATAAAAACACCACCAACAAACTATACATATTATTAAAATTATATTAATATAAACTGTTAAAACGACTTAAGTTGTTGAAAAATTAAATGGGTTTTATATCCACCATTATTTTTCCTCAAAAAACTTTTATGAAAACTTAAAATTAAGATAAACAAGTTCAAATATTCAAACTCAACACAAACAACAGAGATGTGTTTTTGTTGAGTTGTTGCGGATCCCCATTACCGTTTGGCAATTTTATTTATTTATTTATTTATTTTAGCGAATATAAATTAACAATCAGATAATGCAAATTACGCGCGACTAATGTTTGTTTTATGTGTTATTTATTATGTTTAAGTGGTTGATAAATACAATTTATTAACTATTAGAAATGGGTTTAAAGTGGATATAAATTATTGATTACTTATTAGTATTTTTATGGTTAATAAACTTAATAACAATTTATGGTTTAGAAACTATATTAAACTAATCATTAATTAATTGTTTAAAGTATGTATTAAGAAGTGAACCTTATATTATATTTTTTAATCTAAACATTTAATAAATTATATTAAAATTAAACCTAAAATAAGTTCAAAAGCTTATTAATCACTTTTTTTTAGAAAATATTATGATATTATACATTCATTTTTAATTTCATAATAATTTATATTTGTTATTTAAGGTTAATTTCATGTGGTTTTTATATTGTATTTTAATTATAAGAACATTCTCAATTGACCAAAAAACTAAGACTGAACCTTTTTTCATTTAACAGCTTTTCAAAGAAGAAAAAAGAAAATGGGTGCGGTTTTTTCTTCAGGTGTGGGTTTCTCGCCTCACTTTTCTTAGTCTTCTTGTATCATGGCTTGAATCGTATCCCGATAACAATTTCCTTGTTGACTCAAAACGATTATTGATATCTTTAACTTTGTCATCAATCCATTTGTTTGCTCGTTCAATTTCTAATGGGTAATAAGATTCATCAAAATGAACAGTAATACCAGTTTCATATTTATAAGAAACAAATTTTGTTATATGATTAACAGTTCCTTCATATTCACAAATCACAATTTGTACTTTGCATTTTCTATCTTTACAACGATAATAAAAAGGCGATCTTCAAGTTTTATGAAAAAAGTGACCATTTATAACAAGTAAAATGTTGTTACCTTTTGTTGAATGTATAGACGAAATATTTGAAAATATTTCAAAGTTAAAATGAGTAAAAGTTTTAGACAACAAAAGCGGTTTCCGTTCCGAGTAGTTACCAAAGTTATCAATCTTTTCATTTATTGAATTTATAAATTTTGTTGTTCAACTTTCTGGATCTGGTAATTTCAACGTAGAAATAGTATTGTTGCAATAATTTTAACAGTTAACATTTTTCACTTGTATAAAGCTTCTTGTGTTGTAAATTACACAATTTGCATTAAAAGGAATAAACTGCACACATTCACATATGAAGTGTGTTAATTGAGCGAAAAGA